GGGTATGAAGGCTGCCCAAACGAGGGGGATGAAGGCTGCCCGGAAGGGTTGATGAGCTTTGAAGGCCGAGTAGACATTAGACAGGCCCGGGCGAGTGGGCCTTTCAGGAAATGGACACCACTGATGTAGTGAATGTGCTACTAAAAAGAGGCCTGGTGTTTTCTCAGCAGAGCCTGAGGGCCGGTGCCCGACACCTGTGGAGACCACTTTCAAACACTCAGCAACTTTGTTCCCCGGAGTTAGGGCCACTTCAGCCGACCATGTGCTCTCGCTTGGGAAACAGGGCATTGAAGTCAATCCTGGAGCAGATCTGAAAGCATGTGGTGCTGGGAGCCACGGGGACCCAAGAGGCTCAGTTATTACACCCAAAGTGCTTGTCCTGATCACAGACCCAACACGGTTTCAACTCCCTCCCTACGGCAGACCCATAAGGGCGTTGCTCCCCGTGTGCCTCAGCCAGGCAGCACAGCCCCACTGTGAAGCTTTGTCTCTGCAGAGCATCCGTGTGCACTTGGGATCCCTCCCCTGCTTGGCGGGGCCCTTCTAGTCCCGTTCACAGGAGGCCTGAGGCTGGTCTGGACATCGATGGCACGGACATGCAGAGCACCCCTCTCCCAAGCCCAGCCCCTCAGAACCTCCATTCTGTCCCACCCTGGGAGGCCTCCCCCAGCATCTTGCCCCATTGGCCCCAGTGCCACCTCCAGCCACATGGTTTTGCCTACACGACCTCCTGCTTCTGCTGCCCTGTCCTGGTCGCTGCCTGGGGCCTCAGGCAGCCAGTGAGCCAGACCAGCCTCGACATGGGCCTCTCTGACTCCCGTCTCTCTGACCTCGCTGCATCCTATGCGCTACTGCATGGAAGTCACTTATGACCTCAGATGCCTCTGGGGTGAAACACGAGGCTCCTCCCCTCCCGCATTTCACCCACTGTGAGACATCCCTGACTGCTCCGTGCATTACGATTCTGGATACTTCTAAGAAAGAAAAACAACCTGCCATTAAGCCATACTCCAATGTTTTTTAATCACTTTGTTTATAAAAATTTTTATTCTATTAAATCTTCTTTTTATCTTCTATTAAAGATTTTTTGACTTCATTAGACATGGATTTTTATCAAAAATCACTCCTGTGCATACACGGAAATGAAATATAAATGAATGAATGAATGAATGAATGAAAATAAAGTGATTGAGATATCCCTAAACTTCTGCACCATGTATGACTCATTTAAATCATTTTCCAACTTGAGGTCATAGGTATTCATGTTTTTCTACAAAACACTGATCTCTGCACCATCAAGAGTCATGGTGCTGCAATCTCATATGGTATTTTTCTTTCTCCTTCTGGCTTACTTCACTTAGAATGACATTCTCTAGGAACATCCATGTTGCTGTAAATGGCAGTTTTTATGGCTGAATAGTATGCCATTGTGTAAGTATACTACATCTTCTTTAACCAGTCATCTGTTGATGGACATTTAGGCTGTCTCCATGTCTTGGCTATTGTAAATAGTGCTGCTATGAACATTGG